ATTTTAAAAACTTCACCAATATGTTTTTCAACATAAATGAGATAGACAAATGCATAACATCAATACTCATTTATAAAATTAATAGAATAATTTCTCTCACACACTTTATGATAATTATCATCAAAGTCAAAATAAAATCTATTTCAATTATTATTATTATTATTTTATTTATTACCAAAATTAAAAATAATAACAATGCTTATTTTGTTGACATTAAAATTGAATTTTATCTCATGGATGATATAAAAATAACATTCTTTAAAATACGATCACTACTAGACTTTAACTTAAATAACTTGATCAGAAAATAAAATTTTGATTAACACAAGCATTTTTTTTTTTAAGCAGTTTAAAAAACAAATAAGGAGATTCCGAAGGTGGGAAAAGCATCATAGCTCACAAAAATTCTAAAGAATTTTTATTACTTGAGTTAATAATATATAAAGAGTTTTGCGGAATATTCTGAAAAGGAAAACATAAAACACTGAAGAGAGATAACGATTTGTAAAAGTCGAAGGTATTGTATAGAGCATTGTAGAGTATAATTTAGATTTTCTTATAAGAATCACCTAGCGAATATTTTAAAACTCTACTTTCTTAAATAGTTAATATTGAATATAATTTCAATCTCTCACACTATATTGAGGTCTTAATATAAATGGTTAAGAAGATATATTCTCGAGTATGTCAATATCCAAATCAGTTAGTCTTAAAGCTAACTCAATATCTTTTAACCGATTCATAATCAAAACTTTAATGGAGTAAATTTGATTTTCATAAAAATATCTTCCTTCATTGCTTTCAATTCAATATAATATCATTCAATTATATATGGACAATAATAATCTCATAATCACAATTAATATTCTCAAATATTTAAAATGTATCACTCTTAAACTGAATATATAGAAAGCATGTTCACAAGTCCAACTTTCAATTATACCTAGGCAATTAGTATAATCTCACAAGAATATGCTGCGAATAAACTTTAGTAATATTCTCAGATGTGCCAGAATGTATCACTAGATAAACACCTTTGGGTTGAATATATAGAATACAATCAACATCTTTAAACTTCAATATAATCTTAATTGATTATACGTGGGCAATAATTATAATCTCACAACAATGGGCTGCAAATAAACTTTAACAATATTGTCAGATGTTTCAGAATGTATCATCATATAAATACCTTTGGGCTAAATATATAAGACACATTCTAACACCTATAAACAAGTCAACTAGGAAGAATGATTTATATAAATCATCTCCTTTAGGCAGATAAATTTTTTTAAATCAATAAAATTTCCCTTACTAGCGACTCACACTACCTCTAAAATTAATAGACACAATTAACCCCCTTTGGGTAGGTAATTGAGTGAGACAATATTAGAAGAGCTTCCCAGAATCCTTATTAGTAAATCACTTTAAATCTCAATAAGTTAACCACTTCGACAGTATCACCCACATTGATTCAAAAATCTTCCAACTGGGACTATATCAAATAATAAATATTTGTTTATTTTTAAAACTTTATTTAACAAATATGAGAGTACATATGATTGTCAAGTTTTGTTGTTGCATACTAGCAAATCACGACTTTAATTAGGTACTAATTGCCGTATAATAACAAATGAGAATTAACATAAAATTGAATTACTGCATTACATTATCATGTAAATTAAAATATGATTACCAACAATTAAACAACCATTTAATTCTATCAATCAATAAACATATGTCTGATAAAATAAATATTACCCTATCAATTTGTTTAGACTTATAAAAAATATAGCACTGACAAAATATGCACCACCTATATCAAAATTAAAAAATAGAATAAGACCATCACCGAAAAATTACAAAACACATAGCAGCATCACTTGTTTACAGTTCAAACTTGGGACATAACATAACTATAATATTATATGGCATCACAGCTTCTATCAAATATGGACAACCAAACAGGGTCTTGTTCACATCTAGTTATATATATATATATATAAACTAGAGCGAACCACCAAACCGAAGTATTGTAAAAAATGAGCTATAGCTAACCACCAAACAAGCAGACCAAGTCGTGGTTGGGTTGGGTTAAAGAAAAAATTACTTATTTATTTATTTGTTTTTCTTTAATGTTATGATTCCGAAGCAATTCTCAACCATGAATAGTATATATATGTAAGAACATTGAAAAGGTTTCGTCGTCCATCACCAGGCACAACGTTTCAGTAACAAAAAATAAAAATAAAAATAATTAATTTATTCCTTCTCATTGTATAAAAAAAAATTTACTGAAATAATCTGTCATGATTTTGATTCTAGTATAAACTTGCTCTGATACCACATGTAAGATTATAGGATCTATATACTAGAAATCAAAACACTATGAATATAATTAACTACTAAAATATAAACTTAGATACATACCATTTGATTCAGTTATTGTCTTGAGTTTTGCTTCTTTGAAAGATGATGGTATTCACGATTGGAAAACCTTAGCACTAGCTCTTCCCCTCCTTCTCCTAATCTTTACATTGTCTTTCAATGGGGCTGACAACCCTTTGATCTACACACACACACATATATATATATATATATATATATGTAAACCCTAATAAGGATAGAAGAGGGGACTGGACCTAAATAAAACAATTACTGGGCTCTCCCATTAAGGAACCCAAATAACTTAAAACAAGCCTTACACCTTCATATCACATATCCACATATAAAATTATGGGGAACTTACCAATAAGTCCCATATACAAAGTTCAAAACCTACCTAATCCCAAAACAAAATATTTGCACCAATTAGTCCTATATATTTTTAATTGTTACCAAAAAATCCTTTCTTTTAAAAAAAAAAATTACAGACGCTGTTACATCCCACTACTGTCGAACTTCCATCAGATGGTCACCGGAGACTCGCCAGAATGTTCAACATCACCGGATAGTCGCCGGAGTATCGCTGGAAAGTCACCGGAGTATCACCAGGAAGTCACCAGAAGTTCACCGGACTGTTATGAACGCCAATGAAAGTCACCTGAATGTCCAGAACGTTCGTTGGACGTTAAGAATATCATTGGAGATTCACCAGAATGTCTAGAATATTGCCCAAAAAAAAAAAAATAGAGAAATTAGAGCGAAAAAACATAGCAAAATGTGCTAAATATTGATCAACTAAAAGAAAAAAAAATGTAACGACAAAAAACAGCAACAATGGGAAAAACATATGTTATTTTTCAATTTTTATAGGATTTAAGCAAATAATCTCCAATATTAATCAAACTGAAAAGTTTGAAACTGTAAAATGTCACAGTTTCAGAGAAAAAATCTATTACGTATTTATCCTTATTAATCAAACTAAAAAACATGTTATGAAACTGCAAAATTTTACAGTTTTAAAGAATGTTATGAAACTGCAAAATTTTACAGTTCTAAAGAATGTTAAGAAATTGCAAAATTTTACAGTTTTAAACCATGATTCATTCCAGCACCAAAAAAAAATTGAAACTGCAAAATTTTACAATTTTCACCGCCTGTAACTAATACTCGAAAACAACTTATTTAGGATTTGAAAATTTTCTCCATTAAAACAAAAAAATAGACTTGTGTAACAGAGAAAAGGTAGAAAATTTGAGAAATCGAAGGAAAGAGTAGATATAGAAAGAATATTGTACTCCGGCAACTATTTTTGGTTTAGATCTAGTCAGATCTCATCTAGATCTACTCATCAAATTTGAGTAGATCTACTCATCTTCTTCGCCATCGGTGAGGATGAAGTCATGAGTTGATATCGATGGTTGGTGGTTGCCGGTAAACCCCAATCAATGGTGGTCGTCGGTCACCGGTGATTATATATTAGAAAGTGAAAGAGAATAAGAAAGGTGTGATCACCGGTCATCATCCATGACAAAGAAAATGAGAGGAAAATGCGGGGAAAAAAAAGAGAGAGGAAAACGTAAAGAATGAGGCAAAAAACAGAGAGAGAGAGAGAGAGAGAGAGAGAGAGAGGAAAAGTAGGACTTTTGGGTCTACTCAAAAAGTTGTTGGATTAAATAGTGTACACATATTTCAAACAAGACCTATGAGTAATTTCCCCTAAAATAATATACACACTAATATGGACCATGGCCCAAAACTTTATGGATCACAATAATAATTTTGGTTCATACCAATCAATCTATCTGAATCACGTTCAACCCGTTTCTTACAAACCAAACAAAATATAGTCAATGATAGCCTAATTTAGAACAAATTCTTACATTTTTGCCCAACCCTTTTCCCAAACACCCATAATATAAGCTTCCATTTCTCTGTTTTTTTCAAGGTTTTTCGCTGATGGAGTCTGTCTAGGAATGACAAAACAGCACCAAGGGACATACCAAGAAGCAAAAGCACCATCCAAGAGGAAGAAGAAGAAGATGATCAAGGTCTCAAAGATAGGAAAGACTGGTTGAATAATAGATTGATCAGAGAGATGAAGATGATCCATGAAAAGTTTTTGCAAAATTCAACATTAATGGTAGCCAATTTCAATGCAGTTCTTATGCCCATTTGAATTTGGTTAATTAAGCTAATTAATAAGGAAAAATAATAATCATACTTATTTAAATTTGAAACTTGGACACAAAATGGAACAAATCTTTTAACTAGAGTCTTAAGCAGAGTACACCATTTTCCCCTCTCTGTAGGCAAGCCTAAAATTACCATTAATGGTACCAACCAAAGCTTTCATTGACTATGGTTTCAAGTCTGAGCTCTCCCAAAATGGAAGCAACCAAAGGGTACCCAATCTCAACAACTATGTTTCACCCTAGACCCATGTCACCCATCAAAAAAGTGAATGGGGGAAAGGAACGAAAGATAGAAGAGTGAAAGGGAAAATAAAACCCAATAATTTCAGAAGAGAAGCTTAAATCTGAGTCATGGGAATAACAGCAAAAAAAAAATTATAAAAAAATGAAAGAAAAAAAGATAGAACAACACTCTTACAACAAGAGGAAAAAGGCCCTCGTACAAACAAAATCATAATTCTGGAATGCATCTCACCTTAGCAATGGCATAAACGCCAAAAAGACCAGTGTCCTTATAGTTGGTGTTAAATGCCATCATGGACTCAGCAATCTCATTTATGCCAACCCTCTGTGCAAGCTCAGAACTGTTTACAAATTATCAAAACTAGTTAACACACCTGCTCACAAGTTATAATTCAACAGTGAATATTCAGCTTTATTTATTAGTTCCCAACAAATGACGTCCAATGACTCACCCCATGTGCTTCCCACCACCTGCATGCTTATTCCAGGATCCCAACATAGACTGCATGACCATCAAAGCAATGGAATCTGGATCCATCCAAGGAGCCCCATTGAAAGCAACCGCAAATTGTGCTAAAGGCATATCATCATCAATGATCCTCACCTGATTTTCACACAACAATTACCAGTAAATAATTTTTTGTTAAATTGTTAAGAAGTGCAGAACGAGAATATTGTATTGTTGCCCTGATAACAATTCAAGAAGCATTCCTGTGAAACAAGCACACCTCGGAACCTGTAAAAATTGCCGGCTCTTTAGCAACTAATTCAGAAGTTGTGGTTGGATCCGATGACAATTTGGTAAACAACTTCTTCACTTGCTCAACAAGGTCCTCATGCTTCACAGCTCCAGAAGCAGCAATTACCTAGTAGCTCCAGGAAGAACACCCAATGTTTAGGACTTCAAGAAAGTAAATTGATGGCATTGAATAATTGATAGATGAATGAAGGCAAAGCCAACATGTTAACATCTAAATAGAACTAGCAATAAATTACGAATAGACAAAATGCTCATAACTTTATGTCACCACCTACCATTCTGGATGTAGTGTAGTGTGTCAATATATACTTTTGAAGATGATCTTTGGTGATAGTCCTGACATTTTGAGCAGGACCAAGAATGGTTCTGCCTAAAGGCGTGTGCTGGAAAGCGGTTGCATGCAAATGGTCGAAAATAACTTCCTCTGTTTGGCCTTCAACCTATAAAGAATAATACAATAATCACAAGGAGCAAGCACTCAAACAATTAATAATAAAGTAATTTGATTTGACTGAATCAAAAGAACATCTAGAGATGATTTAGTTGATGAAATGAAGAAACCACCAAAGAATGCTCAAAACTATTAGTCCACAAATCAGATCATTCAAAATCTAATTTCAATCAACTTCTGCCATGCCTTAAACATTAAACTTCAG